ACATACATACATACATACATACATACATACATACACACATACATACACACAGAGAGAAAGAAACCAGTGGGCTCCATCCCTAGCACCACACACACTGGATTTGATGGCATAAGTCACAAGTCTATAACTCCAGCCTTTAGACCATGGAAGCAGTCATGGGATTCCAGTTCCAGCTAGTCATTTATTCTGTGCTGCTTACTGATGGTCCAAGTTCCAGACACATTCCTGGACACGAGGAAAGCAGAAAGAGACTGAGTTATGTGCCAAGGTCTCACAGCTAGTGAGTGGCAGAGGTAGGACAGAGGAACAGTCTGTCTGTCAGTCAATCTATTCTCCCCAGGTATAACCCAGAGCCTCCCAAACAGAAAACTGGAAGATTGTTGAGCAAAGTGTGGATTACCATAGCATGACCAGTTCCTACCCCATGAAGACCCAACCAGGAAGTACATGAGGCCTCTCAGCTGGCTGAGTTCAACTCGAGTCAGGCCCAGGTCTCTAGGCACAGTCTGATAGGAAGGCTAACCACCCTTGAAGACACAATGCCCTGAGGGTGTAATGTGGAGAAGAGACAGCAACGAGAATCTACAAATAAGAAACTGTATCCATCTTTGAAGTTTTTCCAGAACAGATAGACTCACTACCTTCGACCGGGAGGTTAAGTTCAGTAACACCCATGTATTTGAGAAAGGGTATTCCAAGATCCATATCCTTTATATAACATAGCTCGGTATGTGCATATAACCTGCGAAATCCCTCTGCAATGGGTGCTTTAAGTCATCTCTAGGTGGCTCATACTATCTGACACAATGGCATATTAGGCAACAATGACAACAATAAGTCTGTACATGTTTTATATAGATGAAACCTTTGTAGAATAACTACATTTCCATCCTCAGTTGATTGAATCCATGGATCCAGAACCCACAGACATGGAGATCATACAGGACATATTAAGTGAAAAAGTATCAGGGGCTCATGAAGGCTGTGATCACAGCAGGAAGAGGAGTGCTGTTGCTACCAAGTGCGACACAAACCCAGCTGATCCTGTTCTCATTTACACAGTTCAAATGCCACGGCTACAGTAATAAACTAAAGCAAGCAGCCTCCGTACCTACATGAACTGTTAACGGGAATGACAGAGAAGGGGTTCGCCTGAATCTCCCCGCAGGTAAAGCAGAGTCCAACAACTACAGCGCCCTTTATTGGGCATCGCTGGAAAATGATAGGGACACTATAGGACAACAAGCCCTTCCTTGGAGTCGCCTCTCTGCCCAGGGTTACTGACTGCTGCAGAAGGACATTGTAAGAGCAGGGGTGTGTGCTGAGTTCAAAAACAAGCCAAGTTCACTCCGCCTTCCCACCAGCAATGCCTTTCTGTCCCAAGGCTGGTATTTGCAGTTAGCACGCCAGTGAAGGGGGCCAGCAGCATCCACCTTCCTCTATTGCCGCATCTCAATACAGACCTTAAGTGAACACAGTCTGACACCATCAACTCTTGCCCCAAATCCCATCTGGATGCTCTCAAACACCATGTGTAAATTGTCCACTACCAACATATTTGCTCAGCAAAAGGAGAGCACGTCTTAGTCCCAAAACTTGACATGCTCGGATAGACCCATAAATCTGACAGCTAACACAGTCTCAAACCCAACTCAGGTCTCCATCTCTTCCTCAACCCCAATTCCATCCTTGGAAATCATTAGCTGGGAACTGAAGCCACCCAAGTAACCAAATGAGCTCTTTTTATTTCTGTCAGTGCTTCGCTCTGAGAAAGAAAGACGTGCAGGCAGGCCGGCTGCCCTGGTTCCCGTTTTATGAGTCTCCATTTATCTAACGTGCATATTTCCTAAAGCTTTTGCTGCGGCTTCGCCTCACCGGCTGACAACTCCCCTATTACTGCTCAGCTATTT